ACTTTAGGGTATTAGGTGTTAAAACACCCCTTCGGGCTTAATTGCTTAGGTTAGGGAGGCTACGAAACCAAACTTATCTACATTTTTATTATTATCATTTTTTTTCTTTTTTTTTTAATTATATACAATCCTTTTCCCTTAGTTGTTACCTTTAACAAAAGAACATAAATAATGTAATAATCCAATATGCAACCCACAATCATATGTTAAAGTGTGTGTGTAAATTAAGGTTTAAGAATATATGTTAAATAAGTATATGAGCATAATTAAGTGATAACAATGCGAGAGTTTGTAAACCTGAATATTTTATGAAGTATTATAATAGACCTTGTTAAGAATGGTTACTAAGATGCGTCTCAAGAGTCACTTTAACAAAAGAGCTCATTTACCCTGTCATCCTAGTAACAACAATTATGCACATGCTTTATGAAATGAAAAATATTTTTTTTTTATCAACTACTACCCTCTCCCCCCAACCAAAACGAGACATTGTCCTCAATGTTCTAAGGTAGAAAGATAGAGTATAGAAGATATCACCTGAAATAATGAACATTGATAAACCTGAAACACACTTAAACAAAAATAAGTAATACCAAAACACAATAATAAAACAAAACAACACAAAAATTACAAATGAAGACTCAAATCTAACCTAAGCTTTTTACGGCTTTCCTTAGATGACCCATTTATGCGATTCATGAAGGGATCAATTACAGGAATGAAAGATTGTAGTTGGTCAATCAATTGTTCAGTAGTAGCAGTAGAGATTATGATTTGTCGTGTAGAAGATGTTTGAAATTCCTGTTCCACAGCATGATCAAGAAAAGACAACAACTTATCATAATAACCATTAACATTTAACAAACCTATGGGTTTATCGTGAATGTGTAGTTGAGCCCAAGAGGAAATATGAAAGATCTCTTCCAATGTACCTAGACCACCTGGTAGAGCAATAAAGGCATCAACATGGTTAAACATTGCATTCATTCAAGCAGACATTGTGGAGACCTGAAGTTCCTCTCCAATTGTTTTTCCAATGATGTCCCCTTGTGCTAAAGCTTCGGGGACGACCCCCAAAACTTGACTACCTCCTAAAAATACAGCTATTGACACACCTCCTATTAACCTAAAATTGCCTCCCCCATACACTAAATGAATCTTTCTCTCAGCTAGCACTTGACCAACATGATTTGCTGATTCTAAAAACTCCTTTTCTTTCCCAGGACTAGATCCACCAAAAACACAAATATTTCTTATATGATGACTTGAGGAACTTGCCATTTCTACACACTTCTGTATTTGTTGAATGTATGGGTTGAGTAGAAATGAAAGGAAGGAAGAGAGGGTTTTATAGATGAGAAATTAGAAAGGCAATCGTAACACCTATATGCACGCCAACTAGAGTCTCACACACTCTCTCTCTCTCTTTTTATTTATTTATTTATTTACTTTTGAAAAAACATGTGTATGTACAGGTAGTTGTGATTGTGGCTCACATCTTTCCTTGGTTTTACGTCCAAGAACGGCTTAAACGCCCTCTATGAGTCGGGGATAGGCTTCCCATCCAGTTTTCTTAAAAATTGGCAAACAGGGTCTTTTTTAGTCAGATTCCCAAGACTAAGTCGATCATGTTCTTTATGAAATAGTGGCCATAAATCATAAATTGCACGATGCACATCTCCACTAGGATGCGTCTCAAGAGTCAATAGAAGATTATCTAAAGACTCCTTACTCAGGCCATCCTTAATGAATTGTATTTATCTTCACGGTTTATAGATACCATTCCTAAAGAACGACATTGTGTATTACAAGTCCATCTAGCACATCGATAATAGACTGCTAGTTGTTTTGCACGACGTTTCTTTGCAAAAGTGCTTTTACCTGTTCTAGGCATGTGTGAAATGAAGGAATTAGAGGACTCACATGATAATCGAACCTTTGCTTCAATCAACTAGCGAATATCTTCAGGAATTCCATGATTCATTAACAATCTTAATCTTGCACATCTAGCACGGTAAATTTTTGTAATCGCATTCTGAGGCAGAGTGGGAAAATACTTTTTCAATTTTTCAAGATTAGTGTCCATTATCAAATGAGAATTGGAAGAGAGATTCAAAGAATTACACAAATATATACACAAATATCAGTTATTGTGGGAAACTGAAAGAACCGACTTAAGTCACGGAGTACCGTTATCCGTCATTTGACCGGGGTGAGAGAAACTAGCAAAGATCACTCAAAAAGAAACAAAAAAAAAATCAATCTTTATATACAGGATCACCCAATTCAATAGAGTCATGTTCAACTGAAAAATTGTCAAAGTAAACTTTCAGACGATATCCATTTACCTTGAAAACATTGTCATTCTTTGGATTCTCGATGTCATAGGCCCCATATGGATACACATGTTTCACAATAAAAGGACCGCTCCATCTTGATCTTAATTTTCTAGGAAATAAATGCAGTCGAGAATTATAAAGCAAAACTTTTTGACCAACATTGAATGTTTTTCTCAATATTTTCTTGTCATGAAACTCTTTAATTCTTACTTTATGAATTCTTGAATTTTCATATGCATCATTTCTTATTTCCTCAAGCTCATTTATTTGTAATTTTCGCAGTTGACTAACATCATTCAGATTTGAATTGAAAGCTTTAATAGCCTAATAAGCTTTATGTTCAAGTTCCACAGGCACGTGACAAGGTTTTCCATAGACTAGTCTATAAGGTGTCATACCTAATGATGTTTTATAAGCAGTTCGATAAGCCCAAAGTGCATCATTAAGTCTTAAAGACTAGTCTTTCCTATTAGGGTTCACTGTTTTCTCTAAAATATGTTTGATCTCCCTATTAGCAAGCTCTACTTGTCCACTTGTTTGAGGGTGATAAGGGGTGGCAACTTTGTGTGTGATTCCATATTTCTTCATTAAAGACTCAAATGACTTGTTGCAGAAATGTGTTCCACCATCACTTATTATGGCTCGAGGGACTCCAAATCGACTCAAAATATTTTCTTTCAAAAACTTTATCACTGTTTTGTGATCATTGTTTCGACTTGGAATTGCCTCTATCCATTTTGAAACATAATCTACTGCGATTAATATGTATAAGAAACCAAATGATGGAGGGAATGGACCCATGAAATCTATACCCCAATAGTCAAAGATCTCAATGACAATAATAGGATTTAAAGGCATCATGTGACGTTTTGAAATAGATCCCAACTTTTGACAATTTTCACAAGACTTGCAGAATGCATGTGAGTCTTTGAACATGGTGGGCCAATAAAATCCACTTTGTAAGATTTTTGCAGTTGTCTTTCTTGACGAGAAATGGCCCCCACATGCCTCAGAATGACAAAATTTAATGACACTACTTACCTCATTGTCAGGAATGCATCTTCGAAATATTTGATCAGGACAATATTTGAATAAGTAAGGATCATCCCAATAAAAGTTCTTCACTTCGTTCAAGAACTTTCTTTTATCTTGGGTACTCCAATGAGCTGGCAATTATCCTGAAACAAGAAAATTGGCAATATTAGAAAACCAAGGCATGGTAGAGACAGAAAGTAAAGATTCATCGGGAAAGTAGTCATCGATTGGTGTGATGTCAGTTTTCGAATCTGTTGTCAATCTTGATAAGTGATCTGCGACAACATTTTCGTTGCCTTTCTTATCTTTGATTGTGATATCAAATTCTTGAAGTAATAAAATCCACCGCACCAATCTAGCCTTAGAATCTTTCTTAGAAAGAAGATATTTTAATGCTGCATGATCACTAAAAACAACAACAGGTAAGCCAACAAGATAAGATCTGAATTTTTCACATGCAAATACTACTGCAAGTAATTCTTTTTTAGTGGTGGTATAATTCATTTGAGCACTATTTAAAGTTTTACTTGCATAGTAAATTACATAAGGTTTCTTATCTTTTCTTTGTCCCAAAACAGCACCTACGGCATAATCACTAGCATCACACATTATTTCAAAAGGTAATTGTCGCACGTCAAAAAAAATCCGCGCGGCGTCGAGCTCCGATGATTTTTCATCGTTATTATTTGATTTGATCTTGTTGGATTCGTTAGGAGTCGCCACCTAGTATTTAATTGAAGGTTACTAGGAAACTCGGTTGTACTGGTCTTGTCAGAGATTCGCGGGTAAGGGACCGGTTGTGGTTAGGGAAGGTATTAGCACCCCTAACGCACCCTACCTGAGGTAAGCTGCTTCATGGACTTGATGTGTTCAAGAAGTTTTAAAAATTTTATCTTTTCATCAGATTTTAGAAATACAACTTCCATACAATTTGTACCTCTATACCGTGATCCAATCAAAATATTAAATTCTTCTTTATTCTCTGCAATTTTATCATAAACAAAAAGAAATATTCATAAGATAAATACAAGCACCCACATGCACTTTCCCTGTATTTTTCGTTTCTTTTCTTTTTTTTCTTTTTGTTTTTTTTCATATTTACAAAATACAAATAAAAATTCAAACTAAATAAATATTACATTAAACAGTTTGAAAATTACAAAATAACCCCTCAAAACTCGATAACAGTGCACGATAGCAATGGACCGGAACCTCTTCCTCTTCTCTGTCGTCGGATGTGACCTGCAAAACAAGGGGAATGTGTTTCTGCACCACCGGAACAGTGGCGGCGCCGGGCCC